CTTAGCCCTGGGGCTCTTGTAGCTCTCTGACCCCTGAAGAAAGCGGGGGATGGTGGGGCTCCCGGGTAGGCTGGGGGCAGCATTCCTCCGCGCCTGGTGGAGTCGGAGGCTGGCAGGGCCTTTGTGTGTGTCAGTATCGTGAGCGCCACCCCGAGTCGCCATCCCAGGCGACTGAGGAGAGCGGCCTGCAGAGGGCAGCGCCGCCCGCCGCGCTCCCTCACCCCGGCTCAGGTGCTGGGGTTCCGCGGTGGCTGAGGGAGGAGCGGCGCTGGTTGTGTCTGCTTTGGTCAGACCCCACCTGCAGTACTGCGACCAGCTCTGGGGCCGCTGACACAATGACACGGATGTGTTAGAACGGGTCCGGAGGAGGGCCATGAAAATTATCGGGGGGATGCCTGTGAGGACAGGCTGAGAGTTGGGGTTGTTCAACCTGGAGAAGGCTCCAGGAAGACCTTATAGTAGCCATCCAGTACCTGAAGGGGCGTACAAAAAAGGTGGAGAGGGACTTCTTACAAGGGTATGTGGTGATAGGATGAGGGGTAATGGCTTCAAACTGAGAGTAGGTTTAAATTGGACATGAGAAAGAAAATCTTCGCTATGGGGGTGGTGAGATGCTGGCACAGGTTGCCCAGGGAAGCTGTGGATGCCTCGTCTCTGGAAGTGTTCAAGGCCAGGTTGGACAGGGCTTTGAGCAGCCTGGGCTGGTGGAGGTGTCCTTGCCCATGGTAGAGGGGTTGGAACTGGATGATCCTTAAGGTCCCTTCCAACCCAAACCAGTCTGTTAGCCTGTTTGTTAATTGGTGTGTCGGTGTATGTTTGAGATCACAGCTGTATCACTTGGTGTCTCTTGCAACTTCCAGCAAGATGCTAATCTGTAAGGCTTTGGTTAGGTTGGAAAAGGCACACTAGATTTTAGAAATGCCCTTTCTTCCTTATCTGTCAGTTCCCCACTGAATGTACAGCTTATCTTTCAGTCTTGTTAGAGATTATAAAGAGTCCATCTACAGGAGTTTAGGTTATAAATACCTTTGTAATGTTTTAAAGAACAACAAACTTCTGTATCATTAGAGTTGCATTAATGAGTAATTTACTCTAGGACACTAAATAAAACTGTTTCACCAGGGATACCGTAAAAGAGTTGTTGTATTTCACCCTTGTTTTAGGATAAAATTCTGTTTCTCAGGGCCAGGAGTTAATTAGGGTTATTTCTAAGAAACCTGTGTGTGGATTTTGAGATCAGCATGTGTCCTGTAGGAAGTGTTTGATAGCCCTCATGTTTATTATGCTGTATTAGGATCTTAGTAAGTGAGATTAAAGGTGCCAAGTATGCAACGGTTTCCATGTACAGATTTATCAGTAATTCTTATCTTACGCTTTTTTTTTTCCAGCAGCCATGGTGAATTTTGCCCAAGCTGTGCGTGATCACTGGGTTCACATCCTTGTTCCCTTGGGATTTGTGATTGGATGCTATTTGGACAGAAGGAATGATGAAAAACTGTCAACCTTCAGAAACAAGAGCTTATTATATAGAAGGTCTGCTTTATGGTGCCTTTTAACCATATTCACTTATTTTGTAAAGTGCTCTTCTGTTCTTTTTGAGAGTCTTAAATATGAAAGAAAAATCAGTGATGCTGTCAAAATACTGAAGGGAAGAAAGCCCTAAAATTTCCAGCAAGTGTTCATGAAGATTTTTAGGTCACTAATGCCTTCTGAAAATGGGGGATTTAGGAGCCATTTTAGTCACAAAAGAAAGGATGTGTAGTTCTATCAGTTTGACTTTTTAGTCAAAGTATTTGATTTAAAATAATTAATTGCACCCATAAATCAAAAGCATCGATGCTAATAAAATTTATCTGTGGAAGCAAGTTAAACAAACAGAAAAATATATTTTGGGGCTCCTAATTAGTTTTTCATTAACTAATTATTGATTTGGAATCAAAGAATTTAGAAAAGGACAATTAGTAGAAAAAGCTTTTGCTCTCCAAAGCTTGTTAATCATTAACTGCTCTCAAGTTCTTAGCTATGAAATGTGGAAAACGTTTGTTTCATCTCTCTCTAAAACTTCAATGGGAAACACAGTGCTTGAATTTTAATTCTCAGCTTTTCAGTGGATTATAGCAAACTTCTGTCTTAAAATTATTGCAGCACTTTAAATACTTTTCTAAAAATGTATAATTTTAAAATAATAACCAAGTTTTGAAAGATTAACAGAACATCTTTAGATGTTTGTGTTAGCAATTGCTGTATCTTCACTGAAAGATATGATTACATACACTAATCAATTTGGGCTTTACTGGTTGACTTCTCAAGGAGAATTTACATACATTAATGCATTGCCTTACCTGTATCAGTTTTCTTAATTTCATATTAGATCATAGAGTTCATGAAACAACAGGAAAAAAACCCATGCTGCATAGCATGCACAAACAATAGGAATGTTATTACCAGTTTGCAGGTGGATTTCTTTTTTAATCTGGTCTCACCTAAATTAGTTCTGTGTAAGAAAGTAAGTTTAAAACAGAATCCACCCTGCTGTTACATTAGCACTTTTCTTACTGCAGTTGCTTGCAAAGTTGGGCTGGTATTTCAGCTTACTGCAGAAATCCCCTCTGCTTTCAAACCCAGTTTTGAAGTAATGAATTTTTGTATTTAAAAGGAGGAGAATTTTTCTTTTGGATCCCATTACATAAGTCTGCTGGCTCCTTAGAGGTCAGCTGTTCTGTGCTTCCACTTCAATTAGTGGTAGTTATGAGGACCCAATCCATTGAAGCTTTGGAAAGAAAAGAGTATGTTTATCACTGTTGAAAGAGATCGAACTGACATGGGTTGCAAGGAAAGTTAAATTTATACTTAACTCTCACAATTAAGTTATTCTAGAATAATTAATTACGTCTACTAGCAATTATTCCAGAAAAATTGTCATAATTTTAGTCTCATCTGTTTGGTTTCTTTTCTTTTTTTTCCCTCCTCACAGAGAGTTGAAGCCTGGTGAAGAAGTTACATGGAGATAAAGGCTGAAATGGAAAATACTTTTGTTTGATTCATCATCTTATCTCACACGTTGAAAGAATAGGATTGTGGTTTTTATCTTGAGAGAACCTGTGAAGCTACAGAAAAGGACACCCACAATTCATCAGTGCTAGTTTAATTTCCAATCTTACTTTTTGGAAGATGATTTAATTACATCACTAAGGTGTCCTCAGAAGTCCTATTCTGGAGGGGAGAGAAAGAATAATGTAATAAAGAAAAACTATGCAAAAATAATTTCTGTTGTTATTGATCTGTATGGCGTGGAGTTAATGTATTTATAGCTAATTTATGAACTAGCCTTCAGAGGAATACTTAACATAGACCCAGAACCTGATTTATAGTTGTTTATTTTTTTAATTCAATCTGAACAAGTTTATTTTTGGATTTCCTTGGTTACCCCTGCTTGGCCCAGCAGTAAGCGAGTGCTGCAGTGTTGTGACCTGAGGGAGGGTGGCAAGAGCAGGAAGGGAACTGACGCTGCTGGGCATTTGCTAAACTCAGCAATGTGGCCACTGAGCCTTTCCAAGGGAGCAGGAAATTTGGGGTGTTATATTGCATTGGCCAAAGAGTAATTGCATTTTTTTCTGGGTAAATGAAAGGTGAGTTTTTCATGAGCAACAAAAACTTCATTAAACAATATAGTGTCTATTTTGTTCAATTACTTTTTGCCTTTCAGGTAACTTCATGATTCTGCACTCAAAAAAGTTCTTGCCTTTTTTGGCAAAAATTAGTTCCAAGAACAATTTGATACCCTGGTCAGCAGGGAACATTTTATCATTCAAGGCATTTTGTAAAGAGCGAAACAAATCGCAGTCTGATGGTGCCAGGTCTGGTGAATATGGTGGATGTGGTAACACATCCCATCCAAGCTGCAACAATTTTTGGTGAATGACCAAACTTTTATGTGGTCTAGTGTTACGGTGAAATACACCACCTTTGGATTCACCAATTCTGGACACTTCTGTTTGATGGCATCATTTAATTTCTCCAGTTGATGACAGTACACATCTGAATTAATGGTTTGGTTTCTTGGAAGCAATGCAAAAGACAAAATACCTTTGAAATACCACCAAACTGACAGCATAAACTTCCTTTGGTGATTATCTGCTTTTGAAGTGCTTTGAGCTGGTTCATCCTGCTTGCTCCATGATCTTTTCCATTTGTCGTTGTTGTAGACAATCCATTTTTCATCAACTGTTACCATATGTTTCAAAAATGGATCATTTTCCTGATGTTGCAAGAATGTCAGATGTCAACACACGCTCAGCAAGATGGATTTCTTTTGAGCTCGTGGTACCCAAATATTAAGTTTCCTAATGTACCCAAGTTGTTTTAAATGGTTTTTAACGCTCGATTTTTCCCTCCTGTCGTTAAGCGCCGATTGAATTCGATCAATGCCTTTATTTTGTCTATCGCCTTCGATTGGCCGTCCTGAGCGTGGTGCACCTTTAACACCCAAAGCGAAGACGACCGCTGCGAGCAGCTGGCGGCAGCTCAGCCCGGCGGCCTCCTTCCCGGCAGGGGGCGCCGTCACTGCCTCCGAGCCCCACCCGGGCGGTCTAGCCCAGCAGTGGAAGCCTGCGTGGATTGGCTGCAGCGGGGCGTCGAGCAAGGGAAGGTTTGATTGGCTGGGGAGGTCACGTGAGGCGGAGGCTGGTGGCCTTTGACAATAAACATGGAGTCGATCTTCCACGAGAGGGTGAGTGAGTGGCGGCGCGGGG